TGCTTTTAATTTTTGTTGTGTACTTTTTTTATTTTATTTTGGTAATCCTTCATTCACTCAATGAAATCACTGCAAGCATTCGGAAAAAAAATAGAGTAAATAAGAACCATTAAATTGCGTAGTGCTTTCTTGATAATTTGAATTGTATTGTTAAAATTGTTTTTTCAACTCTATTATTTATAAATTCATATATTTATTTTTGAATTTGTATAATTTCAATTCAAATTTACCAATTCTAATAAAGATTTATTCATTATAAACCTATATTAAATTAAAGGAAAAATTTTATATAGAGCCGAGGCTCTAAACAATCAAATTAAAGCACACCACAAAAATTTCACTACAAAAGGTTGTTTTGATGCTTAAATATCTCCAAATTGATCATCTCAATATCAAGATGCATCGTCAAGAGAAAAAATAGATTTCAAGTTTTGAAAATAGTGCATCTTGTTACGTATTTTTGGACTGTCAATTTTCAAGATTTTCATGCTTTCATAGATCTACTCGATCTACACTATTTTTTAAGCTTTAAATTTTATATTAAAGAAAAAAAAATATTTTAAAACTCTCAAAAATATATCAAGTATTGAAACCTTGTTTCTTGACACTATTTGAAGGGGGGGTTCTAATTTGATTGTTTAGGGCCTAGGCTCAATATAAACTATACCCTAATTAAAATATTGAAATCCGGTCCAAATCCAATAAGTTCCAAAAAACCAAACACCATAATATCCCATGAAACAGCCCACTCACAATATTCCTATATCCATAATGCTTACTAAGCTTTCTAAATAAGTGCCTTGTCAGGTAGGACCGAGAAGGCGAGTTAGACTACACGAACCCAGCAAGGAAAAGAATGAAGAAAATACCTTTATAAAACTAAAAAAAATTACATAAAAAACCCAAGACTACACTTTCTATGCAACTTACCTCCAACTTAATTTCATGAACCAAGCAAAGAAAAGAATGAAGAAAATACCCTTATAAAACTAAAAAAAATTACAAAAAAATCCCAAGACTACACTTTCGATATAACTTACCACAAACTTAATGTTTTCACTCACTTTTTCCCCCAAAATATATTTTCTATACAAATACCCCCAACCAAAAAAAAAAAAAATACCTAAACTACCCTCCCTTGCTTTTACCTTAGTCACGCTTCTTTATCCTCTATCCCAACCAAAATAGGGGCTCCAGCTCTGTGCAAGTGGAGTCCGGCAGTAGGGCTCCGGCAATGTGTAAAGTAAGTTCCGACAATAGGGCTCCGGCACTATGTAAAGTGTAGTTTGACAGTAGGGCTCCGGCACTATGTAAAGTGTGGTCCAGCATTAGGGCTCGGACGCTGTGTAAAGTGTTGTCGGGCAGTTGCCAAGAGCAGTCTGACAGTTGCAAAGGGAGGTCCGGCAGTTGCAAAGGGCCATCCGGCAGTAGATGTTACTGGATTCCATGACTTCGGCACTATGAAAACGGCGGTCCAGTAGTACTCAGTTTCGGTCAAGTAGTTGTCTTAGGGCGGTCCGGCATTTGTGCGCTCCAGATGATGCGCTCCGGCAATATACTACTGGGGTCCAAAAGTCAACCTCAAATCTGGTGAAAATGAGTTTTGTATAAGGGAAGGGCATTTCCATCTAAAAAATGAACTTTTTTGGGGTATTTGCATAGAAAGTTGGTTTTCGAAAAAAAAGTGACAAAAAGTTAAGGGTAAGTTGAATAGAGAGTGTAGTCTTGAGGGTTTTTTTGTAATTTTTTTCATAAAACTATGCCATTCGTTCTTTCCAGTTTTTCTAAATAAAGAAAAAAAAAAAGAAGAAAGAGAATATTTATACTTAAGAATTTATTATTTGAGAAATCGAAAAACCTTGTTAATCTTTGTCTGTATTTGAATGTGGATCATAAGAATAAAACTCTAGATAACACATTGTGGCACTCACTACCCTGACCACCTCAGCAAAGAGTCTGTTCTCCTTGATAACCTTGTTGCTTTAATTTTTTATTTTTTTTCCCCTTCAAGTAAATGTATTTAGTGTTTCACATGTGGATGAGATTAGCCCGACATCTTAAGTTGAACTAAGTACATAACATCTCAAGTTGAATTAATTTAGAAAGGGAATAAGGGTTTGATGTAGTGTTTCAAACCCCCCCAGGATTAAGCAGGGCTGGTTCTCTAAACATATCAAGAACTGGGTAGTTCCCATTAGGCGGCCTCACATTTTTATATTTTATGACTTTTTGTAAATTTTTATTTTATTCTCATTCTTTTTATTCGTCAATTCTCTCGACTGAATTGACGATCTAGATTAGTAATTTGTCAAAGCAGATCAGTTTCTCATATGGTGGATTCACCCCCCTGATCCGGATTATTAAACATTGGTTTGATGGGCGAAATAGTGGGTTTTGGACTGATGCCTACCTCTCACCCTAAAAGAAATAGTACAAATAATGTGGCTGTGAAAGTGACTTCACTCTCTCTCAATCAAATTTAGGTTCACAGTGAATGAAAGTGATTGTCCACTTTTCTCTCCCTCCACAGTCTCCACCAATACCACATCTCATTTTCTTTTACTTCTTCTATGTGACACTTCCCCTTTCTCCACATGCTTGTGGTTTAAGTGAACCTAGTCCTTACATGTCTCTCTAACAAAATTATAACGGCTTTTTAAGAGAAAGGGAAAGAAAATTTTCATCCATTCTATTTTCGACCTCTTGTAAAATACATAATGTGAAATGTTTGATGGGGCCGCAGCCCTATCAAGATAAGTAAAGCCTCGTCTCAAAACTAATCATAAATTATAGTTCTAGCATAGGAAAACCTTCAAATTGATCATCCTCAGTCTTGACCATTATGGATGTGAAAAACAATTAAAACGTCAAACCCTAAAAATAGTGTATAATATGATATATTATCTAGACCATCTATTTCTCCCAAAATATAAGTACTCATGGATTCACAAGATTGATACCGTTTTTTTAGCATCAAATTTTATAGTCGGTGTTGGATATCGATTTTAGAGCCATCGTAGAGATTTTTGATGTCCAGAGTGCTTTTTAGAGAGGATTCGAAGTGAGTCTTTACTTTGTTTTCATAATGTCTAGGCCTTAAAGAAATTGCATCCATGCATAACATAGGGTCCTTTTCATAAAAAAAAACCCAATTTTTAAAAAGAAAAAAATATGTATATACCAGGTTTACTTTATAGAACTACCTGTTGGTCTATAGTTTTGCATATTTTATAGTGATGTTCTCTTTTATGTCTTTTATTTTTCCTAGTTTTGTCCTCGGTTCGATGGTGAAAACATGGAACGACATTATTATTATTTTTTTAAAATATGTTTTTGTGATTTCTAAAGTTGTCTGATGCCCTATATATCAACCTGACTCATTTATGGGGCAGGGGCAGCTCGATATTTAGAAACATCAAAGCGCTTGACACTTAAAGAGTTTTTTTTTTTTCTTTTTTTTTTTATTTTATGAATATGGATGATGTTGGAAATATTTAAGCATATATAAAATCCAAACGAAAATGCGGGTTGTCCTATATCTCCAATATCGGAGAACTCCATCTTCACCAATTCATTATATTCGATGAAATCTTCGACCACGTGATCACTTTCGTGAAATCTTGGACCATGCAATTTTGTTATTCCAACAAAATGATATATATTATATATCATGTATGGTGTATCATCATCATCATATTATTCCGATCCTCGTCGTAAATCATATAGCATGCATCGCCATCATCATATAGGATATACCATATAGCACCATCTCACTCATTACGGACTCCGACTTTTTCTCTAAACCCTTTGTGACAAGTGTGACCGAAATTGAGTAGTTGGACCGTAGAAAACCGGACCTGGGGTGGCAATGGGCCTGGCGTCACTGTTCGGCTCGATTGGCCTGAACACACACAAGGGCCTGGGCCATAAGATGTGGCTTGGGGGCTAGGCTATCGCCCGGCATCAAGACCCAAGGGTAGGGATAGGCTTTGGCCAAGGCGAGTCCAATTTCCCCAGCCCAACCCTTTCTTGTGTATTCTTTTTCTCTTCATTTTTATTGGATCATATTTGGCCTGGCTTGCCTATTCTAGAGCCTTTTTGGCCTGAGCAAGGCCAAACCTAGCAAGGTTAAGGATAGGGCTGGCCAACTCAAGCCTGGCTGGCTGCCAGCTCTACAACTGTCCAATTTTCCTTTTTACTATAATTTAAAAAAAGATTCGGTTTCTATGCGGCCAAGCCTGCATATGTAGAAATACAAGCCTATTAATAAATCTATTTTTGATATGGATTTTTAGAATTAATTTTTAAAGACATGTAATTTCTAACATGGAGATTATGAATATGAAAAAATAAATAAATTTTAAAAACTAAAAATAATAATCCTAATAAGAAAATATTTGAACCGTTACTTTCTAATATTTTTATATGGATGTTTTACCTTTTTGGACCGCATACGTAGGTGGTGCAGCCTGCAGGAGACAATTTTCTTTTAAAAAATAATTTGATATTTTAAACATGAATTGTCCTTTCAAATCCATAATAGAGCAGTATGATGTTTCCTATAACGAGCCAACCTAGAAATCAGTCAGTATAATATCTAGGGTATCAAACCTCCCTAGAAACCAAAACAAATCAAAAAAATAATGTGATGCAATGTTTTGCAACATGGAATTAAGGGCAAAACTGGGAAAAAAATGTGAACAAGAAAGATCTCACTATAAAATATGTAAAAATATAAACCAAAGGGTAATTTTATAAATTAAATCCGGTATTTATGTAAATTTCACTTATCAAAAAGTAATCAGATATGAACTATTTACCTGTTTTTTATTTAATTCTAAAGATCCCAATCCCATCAAGAGATATATGATCACGAGTTTAATAGGTGATATTTTAACGATGTTTTGTTAAAGGAATAAAATGTTAAATGTTCGATATATTTTATGCTATTTGATAAATCTCATTTTTCTTCATGTAATTTTGGTTTCCGGTGTACCATCTATTGGAAAGCTACAATAATTCAAATTCCCAATAACAGTGATGCTTACAAGAACAACACGAACAACAAGAACCAAAAACAACCATGAAAAAAACCAAACGAAAATGAAGCAACATTTATTCGCCACAAACAGATAAATACTAAAACCGGAGAGCGATGTCTTCTAAGAAGAGTTGATTCTTCTACAGTTCTTCCTTACCTCTCCTCTTGAACCAGTGAGGGGGCTAATGTTCCCCATCTTAACCATGGAATTTGCAAAATGTTGGATGAAAAGTTGGTTGTTCTTAGCATACAACTCCACAATCTCCATTGTTTTCTCACTTCTGGTGAAGAGCACTTGGTCAGAATTGAGCAACCCTTTGGAGGCAACAATGTTCTTGAAGTACCAATTGTCGAACACTGTAGGGCTCACGAAGTCAAGAGGGAAGAGGTTGCTGTCTCCACCGGATCGAGGGCAACGTGTTCGAAGCTGTGCAGCATAGCCCTGGTCGAGGGTTAGGTCTGGGCGGCCATTTCCTGTCTGGTTGTAGAGCCTTTGCCTGAAGCTAGTGCATCGAGATTGTCCAATTGTGTGGCTTCCTGTGTATCAACATAGTTTCATATCATGAGCCACGATGCATCATCTAGAGGTTGACCCCCACGAGGTCCCAAGCAACATTCAATAATAATTAGGAAAATTTATAGATACCCTGGTTTTATTTTTGATATTTGAAAGTAGTCGATTAAGTTCCTATTTTGGGAACATAAAATATATTCTAGTTTTATCTCTTTTGATATGTATCAGATTAAGTTCAAATTTGTTATATATGTATTTTCACTATCAAATATCCATAAAAATTATTTATAAACTATTTAAAATAAATAAAATTACCGAGCTATCCTTGAATAGTATAGAGGTAATTTGATAACTTTATATGTATTTAAATTATTTATAATATTTTGTAGGTCTATAATGGTGAAAATGTGAATGAACCAAAATTGACGTTAGTCCGAATTATAGAAAAAGAAATAAAATTAACATATACTTTTATATTTTCAATAAGTGGACTTGATATATATATATATATATATATATATATATATATATATATAGGATTATTCTTAGATATAAAAAATAAAATGAACTTATCTGTAAATTTTTTTCCTAACCACAACAACATCAAAAACAAGAAGGTAGGAATGTAAATGTACCGGAGAGTGCGACCAAGTCGACTGTGTCGAGACCCTGGAGCTTGAATTTGGTGATGAGTGTTTGGATGGTGGAGTTTGGTGCAGGGATATTGCGGTTTGATCCACTCAAGCTAGCACCCCTTGAGTCCCTCCTCCCCAATGGAACTTCCCAGTGAGGCCCTCCAGCCTTCAAGTAAGAAAAGATAAAAATATATCATATCAATAAATCAACTAATACATTTTCCTTTTTAATTTTGAATTGTTTTATCATTTTTTTTAATTTGTTTAGTTTTTATCAGCCTTGTACTTGACTCAGGGATCTGCTCCAGCAAGGGCCGAATTCCCAAGTCGATTTTCTCTACAGTGTGAAAAAGAAGGCATGAATTTGAGTTAAGGCACGAGAATTACCAGAACAGTGGAGTCACGGGCTGCAAGGGCGAGAATATCAGCACAAGAAACAGTCAGAGGGCACTCTTTCTCTAATGCTGACTTGATTTCATCGATCACTTCGAACCCACGAGCTGAGTTACGGTTAGCATTCGACCGCTTCTCGCTAATGATGCTCCCGCTGCTGTCTAGTAAGAGAGAAGCGTCGCAACCCTGTAAAGGTCCATGGCTCAGCATATTTGGTTCACGCTGAAAGATCCATATTGAACGGCAAAATAGTCCATTATGGATTAAACGGCAATTTGGGTATTACTTGTTCAAGGTCTGTGTTGAGGACAAAATGGTCATTTAAAAATGAGGGGTTTCTTGATCGTCATGAAAGGCTTTTGGTTTGTAAAAAAATAAAAAAATTGGGAAATTGACAAGTTTTAGGAGTCGATTCAGAATTGACTCGACCATTTTTTCGAACCATAATTCTAAACCAAAAAATTACAAAATTTTTGTACGAGAGATAAAAATGACAAATATACCCTCAGAATATAAAACTTTTCAAGTGAGCCAATCCAGGAGCCCAATTACTCTAAAACTTGCACTTCTCGAAATGTACGAACAGTCTCTCTTTCTCAACTTTAAACCTTCCAGACACAGTGCCTTTCCCCTCTCTCTTGCATGGAAAACAAATTTTCGACCTCAAAAGCCATCGTTCACTCTCGCTAACATTGATAACAAAATTTCGAACCTCAAACGTCTCTCTCTCTCTCTCTCATCTCACACACACACACACACCAGTAGAGAGACAGGGTTGTGGAGTGGAAATGTGACCTTGACAAAGCAGTCGTGGAAATGAAGCCTGAGTAATGAAGCAGCCATCCTAGCTTCTCTGGCAACTGCCTTTGCTACAACCGATTTCACAATCTCCGGTGCTTTCGGGCACGACTTATCGTAGAACTGCGGATACAAGTACCCACCATGACCAAAACACCCACATATCCCCCACAACATCACCGATAAGATCACAAAAGCTTTAAGAGTAGCTCCCATTTTCTCAGCTACAAAAAAGACTCTTCAAACTCAATGCAACCTCCTGTGTGCTCAACTAGAGGAAACAAATGGGTATTTATAGGGAATTGCCTCCTGATTTCTACCTCTCTCTCTCCCTCTAGGAAACTCTGTCTCTCTCTTTCTATGCCTCTAAATTATCATTTATTTCTTTTCTGTTTGAGAAAAGTTATCGATGATTTCTTTATGGATTTGGTGGATAACAAGAGTAATAGGAGTTGGTACTGCCACTGCATTAGTCTCCTTATCGGAATTTTTCTAGAAGAATATGATCCGATTGCCCTTATCTTCTCTCAAAACCCCATGATGCTCCTACCTCATAACATGTCTCTAAAATGCCCTTATGTTAAGTACTTATATGGTTTGCTTAATTGTAAGTTATTGTTTAAAAATTCGACAATCTGGATCAAAACCACCCAATATAGATTATGAATCATCCAAACAAATAAACATCACCAGCTTCAAGCATATTAATCCATCTGGAAAAAGGTCGAAATATGTTCAAAGGGAAAAAGAAGTCCGAACAGCAAAATTTTCATAAAAATTAGAAGTAGAGGAGTTGGACATCCCACTAAAAATTAGATAGAGACATTGAACGAAACTAGAATTTGGCTTTAGACGGGGTTCTACAGAATTTGGGTTCTAACTATTTAATCAGAATTTGGCTCTAAACCCAATAGTTATTCTATAATTTGAACCCAAACCACCAAGCGGGAGAAATTAACGTAAGGGTAGTTTTGTCTTTTCATGAACCTAGAGGAGGAAAGCAGTAATCAAATTCAATGCAACAAAAGAAGACGGCATTTTTGTGGTTTCATAAAATGATTTGGGGCGGCGATTTCGTAATTTTTATGGCATAGGCACTACTTGGTCAAGTCATAATTTTGTTGGTTTCCGGACGTGTGAGCTGTATCCGCGCCTTGCAGAAAAGTCTGGTAGTGGGGTCATTCCCTTTACCTGCTCATTGACTACTCTTTCCTTTTTTTGTCCTCTTTTCACAGTAAAATAATTCATCATTTTTGTTTCTAATTAATTGTTCCGATGACAAATTTCGCAATCTCCTTTATTTTAGGATCAAATGACCAAACATCTCCTTGTATTCCCAAAAAAATGAAAATGGCCAAGCCCTACATCTCTTTCTCTCTCTCTCACTTGAATTAAG